ATTCATTAATTGAAACTAGCTTCTTCAACTTTAGTGAAAGCCTGTATTCACATCCTAAATCCCCTTCAGTGTAATTTCTTCTAGTCTTGTGTTTGTTGCTATTGTTGTTGCATTTTGTAATCTTTGCAAAAAACGACTAATGGAGTTTTGATTCATTCATGTGAACTGTATGATTGAGTTTGTAACATTAATGAGTATTACTAATACTCTTTGCAGGTAATATTTTTTTTAAAAAAATTAATTTTCAGATAAGTATGATTAAATGATATGAGAAAAATAGTATTTTAGAAACAGGATCCACATATTTGATATTATAAAGATTTGGTGTGCCAAGTATGCTACTTTGACTCACTTTCTTGGTATTATCATAAAATGGTATAAGACACTATCACACAACCAAAATTTTTGTATCTCTTTTTCCTGTATCAATAATAATTACGTGTAACATTTTACAGACAAAATCTGTTATATTTATGTGTTTAGGAATGCACACATCTATTCACACAGATATCAACATATATGAATACAAAAATAATTAATTAAAAAATGGCCTATAAACTTGGAAATGAACTAGGAGATGGGTATGTGGGAGAGTTAGGAGGAAGGAACTGGAAGGGGTGAAATGTTGTAATTATATTAACATGAAGAGAGAAAGAGAGAGAGGGGACAAATTAAATGATTCTAAATGTGTGTAAAGTATTTAAATATGCCACAACTAATTTAACATGTATTCTGTATATACATAAACACATATACAGATGCACACAACTAATAAAAATACAAGAATTATTTCATTAAAACCTTTGCGGTAGGAAATAGGACTTTTAGAACCAGCCATCTTGTCCCTGTTTTGAAGGAGAGTGAGTTTCCAATGGTCCTTTCGGAGAAGTGGTTTGAATGTTTACTTGATAGTCACAAAGCTGGAAACCTTGGGAGTAAATTAGGTTTTACAAAGCGCTATGTATTTATTGGCATTTAACAAAATTGCATGATTCTGTCCGACTCGGGCATCAGCAGGAAGGGACCCTTGGGAGAGAAAGCCTCGCAGCTGGGAATAATTAAGCCTGATTAGTTTGCTGCTGAGAAAATCAAACTGGAGAGAAGCTTGTCTGGGCATGGAGTGGGGGAGTTCCACGCTGCATTCCCAGTGGATTCTGCTTCTCAAAGTGGCTGGGAGAGAATGTGAGCCTCAAATGCTTGGAAGTTCCCCAGCTAGACTATTTAATGTCTGCATCACCCTGTTCGACTCCTCGGGTGTTTGTTAGAAGCTCAAGAAAATTGATCCAACTTTTCTTTGTATAGACTTTGCAACTTCTCTATATCCATATTTCATGGGTTCCTTCATATTTTCATTTGACCTTATAAATAGATAGAATATAAATGGTTTAATAATTTCTATTCACTTCACACAGACTGATATAGCTGAGGTTTCTGAGAACCTGGCAACGAATATAAATATTAGTTCTTCTAAAAAGAACCCTTTCACATCATAGGGCATACGATTGGCTTGAATTATCCTTTAGAAGCTTTCAAAGAGGACAGTGGGAATTTAAACAAGAGATATGCAGACACATCATCCATCATTCCCGAAGCTGCCACCCTCGATAAAGAATTGGTGCCTAAGATCCAGATAAGCTGTGCTTAATAAAGCAAAATAAACAAAATAAGATGACAATCGAATGCATAGCTTTTATTAGCTTCTTTCTTTTATATTTGAGTTATAGATATTCATTGAGAACACATAACATTTCTTTCAAATAGAATGTTACATCACTAACAAATTATGCATATAAATTAAATATGACGTGTTCTTTCAGGCTTTTAAGAGTCTATCAGATTACTTATTTTCAATTCTGTTGTCAGTGGGTGCTCACATTTGTTGCTTTATTACAAATGCACAGGTTAGTACAGTAAACTGTTCAAAGTGGAAATATTATGACTCGATAATTTGAGGCTATAGGCAATAATGGTAATAACTTCATTTTTTGTTAGCAAGTAAAATAAATCATTTATTTACTTTCTATTTATTTATTAAGTGTGTGTATGTATGTGTGTGTGTGTGTCTGTGTGTGTGTGTGTGTGTGTGTGTATGCTCACTCTCACATGTCTATGAGTGTCTGTAGAGGCAAGAGGAAGGATGTGGATCCCCTGAAGTTCCAGACATTCCTAATTTAATCCACATGCCTTTCTTCATTATAGTATAGCAGGTATTTTTAACAGTTAAGGTACATCTCCAGCCTTGGTTCCCTTGTTTCTTTATGCAACTAGCTCAGCCAGCTCTACCCACAGTAATAGTTAAAGTTGGCAAGGACAAAACACTTTGGGGAAGCTCTTATTGGCACCTAATATTGGAACATCAAGGCTAGTATGCAGGAAGGAAGACTAAAATGGCTAAAAAGACCAAAAAGGCTGTCAGACTGCGTACGTAGCTAAACCAAAGGGAATAGGGAATATCAGTTCCAATTTCCATGTCTAATGCCACAGTGTTACATGTAAGCAGTGTCTAGATCCTCTTATTATAAACTTTTGTTAATTCACCAGGGGAAACTCTCCTCCTGGGTCTAAGTAAGCATAGCTACAAAGAAAGATAGAATCATCAAGAGGTCTCCGGAAGCTTTGTAGGGAGGGCAAGTGCTATTTCTCAGGAGCTGGTTGCAAGCTATCTGGCGCACCTTTGACTGGACCAATGCATCCTGTAGCAGAAGTGGCTTCAAAAGTGGCAATGATTACAGTGGTGTTCATAAGACGTTTTGGGGCTCTTTTGATGACAGTTCAGCCAGTAGTCTAAAAGGGAGCTATATAAAGAAGCATTTTCTGATGAAGGGAGTCTGGCACAAAAAAATAGTCTGAGAGTTGTCCGTCAAATGGCCACCTTAGGTCACTTGAAGGGGAAAACTTCAGAAGAAGCTTAGAATAAATATCTATCATGGAATTAATATTCACAACAGTGGTTAAATGATAGGATAACTTTCCTTGACCTGAGATGTGTGCAGTGGAGAATGGCTAGCATCTCCAGTGCTCACCTAGTAAGAGGCTAGAACATCCCTACTTATGTTTTAAAGTCACTGAAGGAACATGTAAGTATGTCAGCCCAAAATCCACATGCCAGACGGTCATCCCTCTGTTAGTTCCCTGTAAAGAATAGTGGGTCTTTAATTCATCATTAAAGGAAAAACAAATTGAAGTAGCTGTTTGCTTTGTCTTATTTTGCTGCTGTGTATGACATGCAGTCTGGTCTGCTTTCAAGATGTAAAGTGGGAGTTGACTTGCCTACTGCTCACAGCTCAGGAGTGTGAAAGTCAACATCCATCATGAGAATCGTTAGCACATGTGCCATGTACCCTCCAAGCTAGCTCTTATCAGTAAGACTGTCAGTATGTCAATCATTCTATCCCTTGAGTTTGTCTTATCTGATCTTGGGAAGGAAGAAAGGATGCTGTTCTTAGGTCGACAGCCACCCCTTCATATAATGTCAATGCATGGAAGTATAGAGTGAAGTACAGTCTTCCAGGAACCATTCCCCGCAGAGCACACATCCTGAGTGTATTAACCCAGACCCTGAAACTCAAAGTAACACTGCTGTACCGTGAACTGCCTAAAGTCAGTTAAGTAGGTATGTGCTAAAGTCATCACCATTTCTGTCTTACTGTACACCAGTGGTTTTTGTATTTTTCCTGTACCTTTGAAAATAAGAGGTCAAGGTTACATAGCAGTGTCTGCTCCGGTAACCCCATGTCACACTCTCTAATCGGGTCACTGACAGAGACAGGCTCACTCCTGTACTGCAGTTTGTACTCTGCACACAATGAGAACGCAGCCTTCAGTGTTAGATGGAGAGAAGTGTTCTCTTTGAAGCATCGAGCCACACTTTTTTTTTTTTTAAGGAAGAAAGTCTTTATTTTGTGGGATAATGGAGGTGTCATAACATGGAACATTATCAGATCTTTTTTGTCAGTGACTTCAAAAGCTAAACACATTACCACATATACCCCGAAGTTGAAAAATTCTTGTTTTAAAATGCTATTGATGGCAGCATGGCATGACAAAGGGAGGCTAGCCTCTGGAAAGAATTAAGTACGCAATTTATTCCCTGTCCCCCCTTCATAGAGCCCTCCAGCTCTCTGCTGTTAACAAGTTTTTTCTTTATCGGATACGATGCCTGCTATTTCTGAAACTAGGTGAGTAATCTAAAAACTATAAAAATGATATTAAAGTGTCAGTAGGTGTTTATTATGTTAACTCCACATCCAGTTTTAACTGGTTGATTGCATTTTAATACACATCAGCATGTCCTTTGGTTTGTAAAAAGATCCTCGTTAGCACAGGGACTATGAACTTGGGCTATTCAGTGGGGTGCTGATGATGGGTTTGGGGGATGGATTCACAGAGCCATGAATAACATGACATGAATGACTTCCTCGTGGCTTTGGATCCAAGCTTCTAGTTAGTTACTTACTACCTTTGGTCCCACATAACCATTAGACAGAAGACAATTGGACTATTTGAATGGGGTTCCTGTGTATTGTTTTATTTTGGATGAGAATTAGTTCAGCAGACATTTCTTGAACATCAGTTGTGAATGGAGAATAATAGTAAATATGCACATAGCGCAACTGTGTTAGAAGTTGTCCAGTTGCTTCTGTATACCAATGCATAATAATCCTTATAGCAGTACAATGGGATAACAGTATGTATTATCAATATGTCCACTCTACCAGTGAGGAAATTTAGACTGAGAGGGCAGTGTGACCTGTCTAATATGGTTGGTGAGTGTTGGAGTTAGGTTTGAACTTTTTCATTTGGCTCAAGTTGGCTAATAGGATTAGTACTGAAAGAAACACTCAAGATCCATTTCAAAGCAGTTTTACCTGTATAATAAAGGCAACCAATGTACGAACTTTCTTAAGAGTAACTCTAAGGATGAGCAATGGCTCTCCACGTGCTACAGTTGTATCTGCATTTTTTAATGCCCCCTTTTCTCTAACAAACGTTGTTACTTCTTTTTTTTTTTTTCGTTTTAAATGTATTTATGAAATGTGCTGCTGAGTCCAAGCATGTAGGTACAAACGACCGCCTGGATGAAGCTGGGTGTGGAAGGCCTTCAGTAGGTCCAATGATGGCATCTTTCACTCATCCCAAGTATCTCCATATTTGTTTACTTTGACTTCTTTTCTGGGCACTCTTTCCTGCACAGGCCTGACTGAGGGGTCAGTCTTGTGGGGTAAAATTACTCCATATGACTCTCTGTTCTTACTCCTTAATTCCTCATATGTAACACTTTTTCTTTGGGGACTTTCTTCAAGGTTGGGATCAGGTCCTTGGGCAATATGGTCAGTAATACCAGTGGGAGTGGACTCGGTCATAGAAGCACTGAATGGAATTGGCTCGTAACGAGGGAGCGTCTCCTTTTCTATGTTGTCTGCTGCTGGAGATGACCCAAAGGTGGACTGACCACTCACATTTGAGTCATATTTAGACTTTTGAGCATAGTTCCCAGGTGATGAAGAGCGTCGCAGTTCACCTGACCGCAGTGCTTCTCCAAGGGGGGAGTTCTCAAGTTTCTTGAACTTCTCTTGGCAAGTTTTCACGTAAGAAAGCTTTCCAGCAAAGTATCCCATGATACAAGCAAATATAAGTTTAGGAATGGAACCATATTTTGGATGACTTGACAGGATTCCTTTACTGATTAATCCTTGAGTAATCAGCATACTTGTGGCAGCCAATGGCACAGATCTGTACCAGAAGCATTCTTCATGGCACTCTGCAAAGAGTCTCCACTCTTCCTCGGTCGGGATATAAGCAGCCCCTATGTCAGGAATTGGTCTTGACACTTGCGCATTCGGCTCTCGAAAATCAGCCGTCCCATTCATAGTTCCTCACGATGGAGGCGGCAGAGCGGGAAGCAAGACTCGGGGTAGAGGCCAGGAGAGGACCCCAGAGACAGGCACCGCGTACAACGCGGGAAGCCGGGAGGGGAAAGAGGGTAGCTTCAAAGCGATCGCCAAGATCACGTTGTTACTTCTTATGTAGGTAGAAACAGATACTACAGAAATAGAATGTGTAGGCTTATCGCAGGACAGTATAACATTTCTGCATTTTAGTTTATAAGTGATTAAAAATCTATTAATAGTGGCCTAGTTCTCTTGGAAAAGAAGCTTTATAAATTGCTATTCAAACTAATCAAGACATGCGATGATTTGATGTCATTTAAATGCACTTGTAAAATCCCTTTAAAATTTATAATTAAGAGTTTGTTTTCATATGCATTATATTCTTACTTTTGGTTGCGTATACTTGCCTACATGTCTTTTTTTAAATATAAGTATGAATTTTAGTAATGATAATGAATATTGGTACTTTTTTTTTCTCAAATCGTAATTAATTCACACAGGGGTTATAAACACAGAAAGGCAAGATGTGGGGAAGGGAACGACACTGGAGTGTGGGTGTTCAGGGGGAATACAGATATCTTACAGAACCGGGTATCGGCTGGGTGAAGGTTCAGGGGACAATTCACTATGACTCTGCCTATGACTCGCTTGTCCTTATCTAAGTTGGTATTGTCTGCCATGGCTACCTATTTACAAGGCCTATGACTACTCAGGCTTACAAATTTCCACAAAAGCTGCCTGTTGACATTAGCTTATAGCCATCTGTTTCAATGTTTTCCCACTGAGACCCAAGACTTGGTGTTAGTATACATGTATGACAGGCCTATTGCTGATTTTAGGCCTACAGTGTGTAAGCAGGGCTGCCCCTGACATCTCCTCCCTTCTCTAAGTTTGCCTACTTATCTTAAATTAGTATTTACCAATATGTCACAATTAGCCAGGTCACAAGTCTCATGCATTATTCCTTGTAATCGATGTCAGCTCTGAAGAACTCATAAATAGAGCTGTACTTACTAAGTAATAATGTTTTGAAAATTATAACCACCTCATACCCAGAAAATGATTTAAATACATAGATTTATTCACGTATATCTCTGGAATAGTTATGTCTGTGCTACTTACTGAAAGTGTTGACAGAATAAAATTATTCTTTCACTTGATTCATCCTAAACTAAGATGTAAATTAGAAATTAAAGCATGGAAAATATCCTTTTTTTCTCAATAAATCAACAAAACACATCAGGGCTGCTGACTTATTTAGAATGCTGACACCTGGGAGTGAGCTCTGGAACCCTCAGTAGTCAGTTGAATGGTTTTGTGAGAGCTATCTAACTTCTTCCAACTTGGTCACCTCATTTATCAAAGTAAAAGGCTGAAATCGGGACATAATGAAGTGTGTCTTTCTGCTCCATCCAGTTCTCTGATTTTACAGAGATCGCTGTTCTCTGGAGGAAACCTGAGAGATGAATCAGTTTTGAATATCCTCACTCCCACCCAGCTTGAGAAAATGGTCACCTGTCAGTCAGGGTGCTAGTTTGCTGAGTATTGGTCATTCTTCCAGCCCTGAATTCCTATGAGAGACCAACTACTGTATGCTCCACAAGCTGCTCTTTGTGGTCCCAACCCACACCTAAGAAACATGGTGACCTCATCCTAGCCCACACTTTTATAATCTCTTACTGCAGAATTTAAAAGCTGCCCAAAGAAAATGAACAAATTCTTCCCAGGGCATTGTTCTTCAGAAAACTCCCATGGGGCTGAAATGGAATGATATGATCACAAAATGAATGATGTTGATCACAAAACACAGGTCTGACATCTTTCAGACATGAGTATTTGCTCATAACAAATATAATGATTTCATATTGTAATATATTAAATTTTGTTTTTCAGTGCCGGTGATGTGGTTGCTGACTTAAGTTTGGGATGCCCTGAGATTGGGAGTTAGATAGAAGAGCTGCATCATCAGAATTCTAACAAGGAAAAGCACACACGTTATTGGGGATGTGGAAGAGAGAGGGGAAGTGAAGGGCAGGGAGGAAACCCAGGGAACGAACTGTGCCCCCAGTTCAGTCCACAGGAAACATCCAGTTCAAGTCCAATCCAGCAGGGTGTATCTAAGCGGTGGTGTGTGTCACACCTCACATTTGCCCCTACCAAAGATGAGAGACCTGAAATATTTATAGATTGACACTATCTGTTATTTGTTAGCTGTTTCTAGAATCTAATGGGGAGATGTACGTTTTTTAGGTGCCCTTTTGGCTTTTCCCACACATAGACAAAGGGGTTCTGACAGATGGAAGTGAATCTCTACCAAAGATAGCAAGCACTGGCTTTGGAAATTAACAGGAAAGAAATGAGCCGAAGTGTAACCAGGTCTGCTACAGACTGTTCAAACCACATCTCTGAGCCACCATGGAGCTGATGAAATAATATTTAATGAGTTTTTTTTTTTCTTTAGAAAGAACAGGGTATAGACCTCTTAGTCTGTTTTACAGATGAGCTTTTGTGTTAGCAGGAAACAGATGGCATGCCTCACTGGGTAATTTGAGGAGAGTTGAATAAAAGAGCCATTTTCTAAGGTGCAGGCAGAAAGTCAGGACTCCCAAACAAGCAGGGTGGTATAGGATATAGCATGCACCCCCATCCCTAGGTTTGAAGGAAAGGAAAAATGCCTCCTGACTGTGTCTTTCTCAGTAGGTGGGAAGGATGTCTGTGGAATGAATACTTCTGTCTCTCCCTCCTCCTCCTTTCTCTAGCCTGCCAGTCCTGCTGTCAGGCAGACAGAGCACAGGAGCTCAGAGAGGGGCCCTTGCTTTGATTCCTATTGGAGACTCTGCAGCACACAGCAGGGTCAAGGAAAGGACAGGGGGACATAGGGGCAAATGGAAGTCTTGCACATGGTGAGTGATGAATTGTTAAATGATTTTAAAGCAAGTGAAATGGCCTAGACTACATGCAAGACATTTCCATCATTCCCTCTCAGGAAAATAACACACTAACATTGCTTCAGTATCTTCGGTAATGAAAATGGACCCACCAGGCCTGAGCTTCCTTTGCTGTGACACCGCCACACTCACTTTCAGATCTGCTAAGAGAAATCGAGTCCTAAGTAGCAATTTCCTGTCACCCAGAAACAAGGCTATGTCTCAGTGTCTCAAGATCCAGCCTTGGTTGTACTGCATGCTGCTTTCCCAATGTTTGAGTCGCTGTGGCCGTTTGCTCTTTATACAAATTAATCTTCTCTTTTTCTTCAAAACTTAGCTTTGGTTTGACTAAATAGCATATGCTTGCTATAAATAATGTCATCAACAAAATTAAAAAAAAAGATAATGAAATTTCATTTAGTCTATCAACCCAGAAACAAAAGTTGCCATACCGTGGTATGTCTATCCAGTATTTTTCAATTCACACACATGCTTGTGCATATACTTACTTAAAAACCTTAAACAATTTATAAAGTACTCTATATTCTTTTGAATTTTTTATTGAAATTCTTTGACATCTAGATAATATATATAGATAACATGATTAGCATTGTGAATCTCCTCACTCCTCTCTCTCACTCTCTCTCCCCACCTCTCTCTCTCTCTCTCTCTCTCTCTCTCTCTCTCTCTCTCTCTCTCTCTCTCTCTCTCTCTCTCTCGTGTGTGTACTTGTATTTATATTAGCATGTGTGTGGAATCCAGAGTTACTTTTGGATTTCATGCCTCAGGAACTATACATCTATGTGTTTTGAAAAAGGGTCTCTTGCCAGAGTCTGGCACTTAGCAATTGTTTATTGATTTTTTTCTAAGGCAAATCTGAGTCTTGAATGAAAGGTCTCTAAGTTGTAGGATGCATGGGAGAAATATTCCCTCCTGCAGGGGTGTGCATTAAGTTCAGGAAGCAAAGAACTCAAAAGTTTAACCAAATGCCTGAAACTGATCAGACACACTAAGTCCCCTTCTTTCTCAAGCATACATACTCAGTAGTGATAGTTGAGGGACACTCTCAGGCTGAACAAACCACCCAAAAGAGACAGAAACCAGCTGAGCTATCCAGAACACTCTGATTCCAACTGAGCTACAGGAAACAACACTGTCTAGCCTGTTTAGTTCCATGAAGGCTATACAGTGTGCTGTAGACTTGCAGCTTTTGTGAGTTGTCACACATACTGGGGTGGGCTTTCCTGATGCAGTTGCCTTTGAGTCATTTTGCTTATATAAGTAACCCCTCACGCATACTGTAGTAAGTAACCAAAAATAAAACTCATGAGTTTGTCAGTTCAGCGTTGGTTTGTCAGTTGTACTTTGGTCTGTCATGTCCTATCTATGGTGAATAGATATTTGTTCATGTCTCCTCAGGAAAATTGTCAGACAACAGCAGTTAGTTCAGAAAACACTGAGCCCTGGAGATGGAGTCAAATCATCTCCTATCCAGTGCTGGGACTGCAAGCATATACCACTATGGCCTGTTTTTTATGTGCAATCTGGGGACTCCAACTGGGTCTTTTGGCTTGAGGAATAAACACTTTACAGACTGAGGTATCTACCAGTTTTATAGCATCAAGTTTTATAGCATTAAGGTTGAGCGAATTCAATGGTACTGAATATACAGATGGCGTGTAGCTTTTTGGCCGCCATTGCTATTGTGAATACTGTGACTATGACCTACTTGTACATGTTTTTAAATTTCATTTCTTATTTTCCTATGCTAATTATTTAATACTTATGTCTTACTGGAAAGTTTTTGTTCATGGGATTATGTTTATTTATTACAACTCCAAGTGTGTTTGCTGAATGAGATTTCTAAATATCCAGTTTAATAGACTCTGAAATTTGTTTTATCTACTCTGTTATAACAGGAACATTCCCATCAATATTTATTAGTTTATTCTGGTCAAAATTAATAGAAACCAACTAAGACTATTATACATAAGAATGGAGTAGGCTTTGTGGTCTTTGATTTTTATAACACAAGGTCAAGTTGATACAATGGAGTCTCAAGAGCAGCTTTGAGCTGGAGCATAGCAGGTGAAAAGTAACTAGGGATACCTTTGTGTGTGTGTGTGTGTGTTTTCTTGCTGTTTGTTCCTTTTCCATATAAGTCTGACTGAAGCCACTCCTCCT